AAGCACGAATGCTGAGTTCTTAGATGGCTTATGAGCTTTCCTTGATCTTGGAGTTGAACTCAATGATCCTCACGGTTCCCTTCCAACTCATAATATTCTATGATTCTTTGATTTTCTACCTCTACCTTCCTGTGGAGCCAAGGTATCTCTTAAATGACTCTCACAGAGGAGGGTGTTCAAGAAAAGCATAGATGAGGCACTGAGGGACATGGTTTAGTGGCCATAGTGGGGATGGGTTGATGGTTGGATTAAATGATCTTAGTGGCCTTTTCCAACTTTAAGGATTCTATTAGGGTCAATGAAGAAGTGAATCCACGCTGAATTGGGGCAGTTTCACAGTATTAACAATAACGTCCTAGTGAACAATAAGGGATCTGGCTCAGCTCTTCATTTGTTTTAAACAAAAAGCTTGCAAGACTGGCAGTTGGGTCAGCCATTAAGAGCTGCTAGGATACTCTGCAGAACCAGATAAAGTCACATCATTGGCAGGGGAAAAGACACAACCTTTCACCAAGGAATCTGCACTTGCTCTTGCTGGATGAGATGGTTTCGGCTTTACAGCCAGGGGAATGCAGGAAGTTGGTTACTTGAAGTCCTGCAGAACAAATTGAAAGTAAAAGTGCCCATGAGCTGATGCTAACGTTGGACAACATTCAAGGGCGCGAGACGAATTGATGGCAGGGAAATGCATTGAGGGTTGTTGAGTATGTGGAAATCACACGTGGTTTGGAAAGTCCCTGAGCTGAATTAAAATCAGCAGGGAGACTATAGGGGATGTTATATGCATTTTCCATGCCCTCTGCACATCTCTAAGCAGCTGCTCGTGGGTATGGCTAGGAGCAGGGCACAGAGGGGCAGACCTTTGCCCCTCTGAAACTCATTAAAGATTAGAAGTCCATCTTTCTCCAATTTACATTAGAAGAATGCTTTTCCTTAAAGCATTTGCTTTGTTACTTTTAATGCAATTAAAGGAAGAAAGAAGAAATAACCCTTTGCAACTGGAGAATAAATAATAATATATTCTTGCTACAGCTCATCTCCGTCACTAAGAAGCCCCTACCCCACAGCTGGTTGCTATCTGCTTTAGGGAATGCACAGCTGTGCAGACACAAATAGAGGGTGCTTTCTCCACCCTGGGTTATGGGAATAGCTCTGAGGCAGAGCTGGTTGGGAGAATTCTGCTGGAAGCTTGCTCTGCTGAAATATGCGGTTCCACTCCAATTGAGCTGTCTCACAGAATGGGGATGGGTCTGCCAGGGTTTTATTTGGAAAGAAAAATGAGAGGATAGGGAGGGGAGAACCTGGAACGTCAAAACAACCCATCGTGATAGCTCTGAAATGAAGGTTTTCAGTTTTAACCACTTTTTACTGTACGTTTTTGCACTGCAATGGAGAATGCTGAGATTTCCTACTGATACTGAATGCTTGTCTTGACAGTTTGTTCTTGTAGTAACAGTTATTCTTTTTTTTTTTTAAAGCTATATCTGAAGGGATCCCTTCCACCCAATTTGCTCCTTTTGTCTTGCATTTCAAGGATGTGTTTGCAGATGGTGTTGGCCAGGAGTAGGATACCATGTAAGCAAAAGAAGTACAGTTGTATCCCTCAAGCAGAAAAGCAGGGAAGCAGCAGTGTAAAACCAAACAGTGCGTGAACAGAGGCACACACAGTCAAATGCTAGAGATATCCAGGCTAATGCTTGGATAAATCATCTCTGCTTATCAGTAACAGATGCCTGAGCTGAGGTTGGGGCCTCAGTGCATGATAGATAAAGGACAACTGCTATCGGGAGCAGCACTTCAGCTTCAGCCCTGGCAAACCTAAAATAGGGTAACTGTGGCTAGAGGCCTTTTTTAAAGCCTGGAGGGAGAAGCACGGTGTCCAGAGGTCTAGGAGGCCCAGCAGTAAATGGGAGCCATTTGGGAGGCTCTTCATTTGCTCACCAGATACGGTGCTGAAGACCATGTAATAAAATTTGCTTGGCCACCAAAGCCTCCTCAAGTTCTCAAATGTCTTGTGAGATGTGCCAGCCAGCCACTGTCTGAGCTTTGTGAGCTACTGGGTAGGATGAGTTCCTTCCCAATTGGAAGCTTGGTTGTTGTATTTGGTGTCGTGGTTTTAGTGTCTTTATGTCTCTGGATGACAATGGAGAAAGACAGAGAGCTGCTGGAGAATGGGATCTGGCAGTTCAGGCTAATGGAAAGGATGGAGATCTTTAGGACTATTGTTCTGAATATTTTTGGCCAGCCTTAAATTCACTTGAAAAGACAACAGCCGCCTTCAGAGGGATGAGGGTGTGGAAAGTTGGCAGCTTTCACTCCCCTGCAAAAGGCATAATGAGAGCCAGTGACTGAAAGCTGATGCTAGGCAAGTGCACGTGTAGAATGGAGCAAACTGAAGTAGGTGAACAATTAAAGACAGGAGCAAATTACTCCTAAAATGGTGGATTTCAGAGCTAAGTAAATCTCTCTTTTTTTTTTTCTTTCAGTTTAGCTAATTAACCAGAAAACACACTCACACACAAAACAAACATTTGGCTCAGCCTGAAGCAAAATGAGGATTTTTTTTTACCCTTCCTGATGATTCAAGAGCTTGCCCAGAGTGTGGCCACAGTTCTTTCTTCCACCTGAGGACTCCTTCTCTTTTGGGACAGCACTTGCATCCTCATAGGTAAAGATTTGCTCCATAGAGGCAAACAGCAGCTGGTGCCAGACTATTGATGGGGACAGCAATAAGAGGACCAGGATGCAATATTTAGGATACTGGAGTGGGAAAAAAGAGGCAGCAGCTGTGATGTCTGGCTATAAAAAGGCTGAGAGCTGCTGCAGTGGGTCTACAGGGGGGTTGGCCTCTGTCTTTCTCATTGATGCTGTTCTAAATATGTCCTGGAGCTGAGATTGCAGGCAGGTTGTCACCACCAGACTATAGTACTACTCTTCTTTACTTTCCATTTCCTTAGAAAGATGGAATTTAGCCACCCAAAAATGTGGACTTGTGAGCAGTTTTGGGTTGACCCCATCATCCAGCCAATGAATACTTTGTTCTCTGAGCTGCTGGAGCTCCTCATTTTCTCATTTCTTATTGAGAAATAGATGGCTCTTGAAAAAAGAAGATCTTGTCTGACTGGCATGCTTGGTGCACACGTTTTGGGAGCTGCTCACAAACAAATAGCTTCTCTGTCCTCAGAGGCCACTTTTATTCCCAGCAGAGGTTTGGAGACCACAGCGCTGACAAATGTGTTTGCATGATGCTGTATCTAACAAAGGAACCCAGCCTGACCCAATTAGGTCTGAATTCTCCCACTTCCAAAACAGGCACAACCGTGCGCTCAACCTGCTTAACTCGATTTCTCTAAACCTTTGGCATAGCCCTCAGCAAGAATAGGATAAAGCTCCCATCTGCCCTCAGAGCCAGAGGCTGGGCTAAACACAGCAGTGCTGAGCAGAGCTGTTCCATGCATGCCTCCCAAAACTCATCTCTTTGCCCATCAAAACTGCAGCCTTGTGCTCATGTTTTTGGAAGAGTGGGAAGATAAATATCCTACACTTTAGGCTCCGCTGAGCCCATATATGATGTTGACATTAGAAGGTTACCTTATTGCTGATGGTGTTCTAGCCTGGTCTAGTATTAGATATGGAGTTTGGTGGCCCTGCATGCAGCAGAGGGGTTGGAGCTTGATGATCCTTGAGGTCCCTTCCAACCCAAGCCATTCTATGATTCCACGATGCTATGATTCCATGTTCCTATAATCATTGGATGCATGTATATCCATAGTGAAAGGGTGAATTTTTACTTCCTACAAATACCTTACACTCATCTTGGGGATTTAGGGATTCAGGTTGCATGAGGACTTGTGCAGGAGAATTCTGAATATATTCAAGGAAGAAAATTCTTCCATCTTTAGGTCCCTGTTCAATGCTTGACTACCCTCGGGATACAATGAAAGGATTCTGCTTTTCTTTCGGCAATGAACAAGCTGCTCTCTAACCCTTTCTTGATATGTCCTGTCCTCCAAACCTGACCAGTTTGATTTTGCTGCAGTATACCAATGGAAACATTGGAGAGCATCTCATAAAACAGGGAGAAACTCACTGCCCTTGGCTGCCAACTTACTGCAACAGTGGCTTAACCAAAGCAGGTTCAGGAACCTTTTAATGGCTGAATGAAGAGGTAAATAAAGATGTTCCTATGATATGCAGGATACAGTCAAGGGCAAAATGAGCACTTTGTGTCTAGCAGATGGGACAAACGGGGGATCTAAGCCTGAACCTTAATGCCATGGGGTACAAAAATCAGTGGATTCCCATGGAGGTTAGTGGAGATATGGAACAAAGACCAAAATTACAGGACTGGGTCTGAAACCAGACAAGATACAACATATCACCAACACTGCTCTGAATAATGGCAAAGGGAAGATTGTTTCTTCTGGAAAAACTAAATTACATGAGGGCACTCAAACTTCCCCAGTTTTCTTCTTTCTAGCCAGACTTTGACATCCATCACCCAACTCTGTGATGCCTTTGGGATCTGGGTCTCCAGCAGTGTTGGGCTCTGGATCTTTGTCACCCAGATCTGTGATGCCAGTGGGGTCTGAAACTCTGGCACCACTGGACTCTGGATCTTTTACACCCAGCTCTGTGATGCCTTTGAGGTCTGGATCTCCATCACCCGAATCTGAGGTTGGAAATAGCTGATCCTTAAGGTCCCTTCCAGCCCAACCATCCTTTGATTCTATAATTTTGCTTTTTTAGTTTTATTTTTTCCAGTTGAGGCAGTTTAGAAAACAAAAACAACTCACGCTGCACTGTGCCCAAGGCAGTTTAATCACAGAAATCACACCGTCCAGACACTAACAGATCATTTATCCTTTGCTCTTTCTGGGAATGCACAGGAAAAGGATCTCTGCTCCTTTAAGCTAGCAGAAAGCTTCTTTATATTCAGGTGGAGTCAAGCCTTCCTGGGCTATAAAGTTGCAGGGAGAGGCAGGGTAGCAGCTGTTTTGCTTAGATCTTAGCAAGTCTCCAGTCTCATCATGGTAAGAGCATGCCTTATGTTTGTATTAGCCTAAACTTAAAATACTGACTGTTTGTTTTCCAAGTGTGCCGAGCTGAACAGCTTGCTTGCTCTTTTCTCTCGCCTTTCTCTCGTGGATGTTAATTCCAAGCAGCTTTGTTTAATTGCCAATTACCTTCTGGTTTATTGATTCAGTGTTTGCTCCTTATAAGGGAAAAGTGAGGGATGTGCAGAGCAGCTCTTTCAGTGGCCTCTTGCTGCTTTTTTCTGCTCTGAGTTTGCAGCTCCTGGGATGGGGTCTGTAGAGTTGTGACTGCCTCTTTAATGCAAGATGGGTTTTACTTTTTTTTTGAGGTGGGGGGGCACCAGTACATCTTGAGACACAAATATATGATATGCTAAAATTGAAAGTTTGACACTGTTGGCCCCGTTCCCGAATTGAACACTTTGTCTCTCACACTGCTGTAGGGAACTTGTACAACTTGCAGAGACCTTTAGGGTTTTTTCCTTAGGAGTGAGCTGCCATGTTGCCTTTGTCTTCTAGAAACCCTTCCGATTAGATATTAAATGAATGAAATCCCTCCTCCCCCTTTTATTTTCTTTTCTCTGTTTGAATCTTTGCTCTTAGGAGTTTGCAGCTGTAAAACTGAAATGGACTATATGGTTCCTTAAAAAAACAAACCTGAGACTCCAAACAGCACTGGCTGAAACTTTTAGTGAGGAATGACACAACTGTCACTTTGTGAATGCAAAAAGGCAAACTGTTGGAAAATCTGATGGTGTCCTTTTGCATGTTGCAAGTAGAAAACTTCAAAGTAGCACCCAGTGAGGCAGCTTTTGAACTTTTCCTTTTATCTGCTGACTTTTAGGTCTCTGTCTTGGTTACAAAACAGTTAAAAATTTATGTGGGATTTCCAAAGGGAAAATCAGCTGGACAACAATAGGTTGCTTATAGCCAGAGTCTGTAAAATGCAATTTATCTGGATGCTAAAATTGGAAGTCTGGGATCTCAAAAAAAAAAACCTTCCAGCATATGGGAGTGGGGATTAAAAAAACCCAAACCTGCAGAATATGAGATGTCTTCCCCCCCTCCCCCCACCATCCAATAGGCTTTCTTTCTTTCTCTTTTTTTCCCCCCTCTCTCCATTCCCTATGCTGAAAATGCCAGTGCCCCTTGAAGCAGGTGCTGGGACTGCAAGCTGGGAGAGGACAGAGAGCAGAGCAGCTGTCCCAGCGGGTCCTGGTGACCCATGCAAAGTGTGGTGAGGAGCTATTGCAACCATCTTGCTGGGAGGGATGGGCAAATGGCAGCCAGCATTTCCCAAATAGTGCAAATATCAACTGAGAGAGGAAGGGCTTAAAAACAACCCCCACACCCAGCACCAGACCTGGATTAGATTGTTCTCCCAGCTGTGGCAAAGGGTTTGCTGTCTCTCTGCAAAGAGCGTTCATCCAGTTGGTGTCCAACCTTATAGCAGTTGACCTGGATGCACGGTGACCATCAGTCTTGCTTGACTGCTGGGAAATCTCTTGGTACATCCATGGAGACAAAGGGGGGAGAAGTTGCATTGCACCTGTCTCCTGATGACTCTTGCAGTGCTATGAGTAATGGGTCCCCAGGGCTGTCTAGCATTAGGGTAGTGCCTTTGAGGGCAGTCATGTCTGTGAGTGTGCATACACAAGGTGTCCTCTCCATCAACACCAGGAAAAACTGTTGGCCATTCCTGGGTGGGCTTACCAGCTCCCTTCAATGGGAACCCATCAACACCAGGAACGATGGCATTGCTGGCCATTCCTGAGTGAGCTTACCATCTCCCATCAATGGTAATCCTTGTGCTATGGGTGGCTACAACTGGGAGCTGAGATGTGAGCTGTTGTTGCTGCAGCAGCACTTTGATCTCGGGGTGGTGGAAACAGCAAAGATGCCAATTACTGAGGGGAGTGTACAACCATCAAAAGTATCTCAAAGATGTCGATGCCTCCACTATCCTGGAGGCTGCTGGGATGCTCCTGGAGGATGACCTGGTTACATCAGGACTCTGAGCCTCTCCCCAGGTGCTGGCTTCCCTTTGTTTTTGCCTGGAGTGACTGCTGGTTTCCTCTGGCTTCGTTTCCTGGTGTGACTCCATGCTTGGCTTCTCCCTGCTTGTTGAAGAGCTCTTTAGCTCAAGGAGCCTGGAGCTGTTGTCCTTGGGTCCCCATTGCCCTGGGACCCAGTGGATCCACTGCTGTGTAATGAAACCAGTTGAGCACTGAGCCAGCAGTGCTCAGCTTCTTCCTGCCTTGGCATGAAGCCCATCACCTCCTTCCTTCCTTCTCCCTTGGGCTGGGAGAGTCCTTCCTAGGGATGCTATGTGTCCAGCAGCCTACAGAACACAGTTTGATCCTTGCTCCAAGTCGTGGCAGTGGGCGGAAGCCACCTGTTTCCCTCATCATCTGCAGCAGCAAATGGCTCAAACAAGAACCACAGGGGCTAATGCTAGGCCACAGGATGTCTTAAAAATCACCTTAACAAACCATTTCCCCTTGCAGAGGGAGTGCATTTCCATCCACATCGGGCAGGCTGGCGTGCAGATGGGCAATGCCTGTTGGGAGCTGTATTGCCTTGAGCATGGGATCCAGGCAGATGGGACCATTCCTGGCTCCAAGCTGGTGAAACCTGTGGAGCCGCAGTCTGAGCAAGTGGATTCTTCTTTTGAGACCTTCTTCTGTGAGACAGCGTCTGGGAAGCATGTGCCTCGGGCAGTGTTCATAGACTTGGAGCCCACTGTCATTGGTAATAATGGGTCGAGTGGGCATTGTGGCACCATAAAATGTGAATCTTGGGCAGGGATTGCATTTCCAAATGGACCGGGAAGTAACAAACCCATTACTCCTCATATACTGACTTGTCTTCACCTGGAATAAGTTGCCCAGAGATCTGATGGGTGTCTTGTCATTCAAGATCAGGCTGGTGCAGGTTCTGAGCAACCTGATCTAGCTGTAGATGTCCCTGTTCATTGCAGAGGAGTTGCATTAGATGGCCTTTAATGGTCTCCCCCAACTCAAACAATTGTATGAATCTCTCTTTTTAAGAGACCTGCATCTTAATTCTCAGTGGATATAGAGAGGTGTGGGTTTGTCAATCTCGTAGCTGTGGGCTGAATTGCACTATCCTATGACTTATTTGGCACGTCTGGTTTTAAGACTGCCTCTGAAGCTTCTTTGAGCGGATGGGTGTTCTAAATTTCATGCTTCTGTGTATTTTGCTGCAGCAGCATTTCAGCTTCCCTTTCATCCCCAGCTCTGTTAGTGATCTCAGACGGTTTCATTCAATTTGGTATTTTGATTTAATTCAGAATACCTTCCTAGACAAATTCTTATTTCTCTAGAACCTGGTGGAAATGACCTGGTGGGAATTGCATCCACTTTAGATTGCGCACCCAACCTGCCTCTGCCTTCTAGGCTTCTCCTGTAGGTGAATGTGTCTGCTCTTATCTTAACATTTAAGATGTGACTCATTATTTTATTTAATGGAAGGAATGTAGACTTTGTTTTGGTTCCACTTAATTTTAGGCACCCAATCAAGGCACTAAATTGGGAACCAAGTCACTGAGCCAACAGAATATGAAATGTATCCAGCATTTTGACTGAGTGGGTCTAAATAACCTCTGGGGGTGTCTCACAACCTCATTGACTGAATGGAGCCTGGAGAAATTACTCCTAATGCCTGTCTCCATTAGATGCCTGAAGCTGGGAGGGATGGATCTGGCATGAATGTGTTTTGTTGTACTACACTGATGTCCAGAACCTGTAACTGTGCTGCTCTCCATGACTGCTTCTCCCTATAGATGAGATCCGAACTGGCACCTATCACGGACTCTTCCACCCAGAGCAGCTCATCAGTGGCAAGGAGGATGCTGCCAACAACTATGCCCGTGGCCACTACACCATTGGGAAGGAGATTATAGACACTGTCCTCAGCAGAATTCGCAAAATGGTAAGAGGAGAAGAGCCTTTCTCTTAAAACAGCACATCATAGTCAATGCCATTTAGACTTTGGAGTAATAGACTTAGTTAAAGGGCTTTTTTTCTTCTGAGCTCAAGAGTTGCTGATGGCTGGATTAGGTTACCATAGTGGTCTTTACAAACTTAATGATTCTATGGTCTTGTGAGCAAGATTCAATAAAGTGAGGGGCCATCTGATCATGTATGCCTACAATTAACACTGCACATTATACATGTATTGGGGGCTGGAATGAGAAAACATTAGGTGTAAGAGAGAAAAGAGAAGGACTTCTGACCAGAGGGATTGTAAGATTGCAGAGATTAATTCCAAATGGACAATTGGTAGCCAGGCTGGGAAGACCGAACTCCACGTTTGATAAATGTGAAGCAAGTTTCTAACACTGCACTTGGATGCTAAAATGTTTTTAAGATCTCTTCTAGGGGTCCAGGACACACAGGCTACTTCCTTTTTTCTCTCAGATGCTTAGATGTACATCGAGCATTGATGCATTGATGTACAATTGAGTAACTTGGTCAGTTACCATTTGATAACATGGAAATTCTGCATCTACTTAAAGATGTAGAGCAGGTTGTAGTAGAATGAAAAAATTAGTGAATTCACTCTAGGGATTGAAAGTACTCTAGATGGAACTTGGTTTTCATAGAATCATTAAAGTTGGAAAAGATTACTAAGATCATCTAGTCCAATCATTGAGCCATCACAACCATACGTGACAAACCATGTCCCTCAGTGTGATATACACCCTCTTCCTGAAAACCAACAGGTGTGGTGACTCCACCACTTCCCTGGACAACCTGTTCCCCTTCCTGACCACTCTTACTGAAAAGAATTTTTTCCCAATGTCTAACAAGAACCTCCCTCGGCGAAACTTAAGGCCACTGCCTGCATTTACTGTTGTTTAGCTAATTGTCTTCTGGTGAGAAGGTGCTCCAGGTAGAACTTATTGCTGTGTTATTTGGAATAATCCTTAAGAGAGAGGTAAATATGCATTGTTCCACTGTAGGCTGACCAGTGCAGCGGCCTCCAGGGGTTCCTGGTCTTCCACAGCTTTGGGGGAGGCACAGGCTCAGGGTTCACCTCCCTCCTCATGGAGCGGCTCTCTGTAGAGTACAGCAAGAAGTCCAAGCTGGAGTTCTCTGTGTACCCGGCACCACAGGTCTCCACGGCAGTGGTGGAGCCCTACAACTCCATCCTCACCACTCACACCACCCTGGAGCACTCGGACTGCTCCTTCATGGTGGACAACGAGGCCATCTATGACATCTGCAA